AAGAATCACATCCTGCTCCAGCGGCGCTGGGCTGGGATCCCACATTCTGCACAGCCAGAACCCAAAGGCCACGGGCAGCACAGGCAGACACAGAGATAAGAGACACTCAGCAGGAGTCGGGGATCAACAGGCCACGGGGGTTTGTCCCCTGTCTCTCTAACCTTTAGGACTGTGTGACAAAACATACCTTATGTCGACAAAGGGGTTTGATACATTCCAGCCCGTATAGAATGGATGTCCACAGCTACCCTGAAACTGCAGCCAGGCGCAGAGCAGAATCTGTCTGCTTGAAAACCACGGTTGTGTAACACACGAAAGCAATTTGTTTGGGAAACCAGACAGCTCTGACCCTCACAGACAGCACTCGGGCTGTACACTGGACTGGCCAAAATCCAGGTAAAGGAAGGGACAGCAGGGACAGAGAGCAACCGCGAGCCTTTATGGTCAAAAAACAGCACCAGCTGAGCGAGGGGAGCTACAGACCTGCCCGCCCCTCACATTTCCCACCAAGGAGCCGATTACCGACTACCCCCCATCCTCACCGCGGGGACCGCCGGGCGGGGCGGCCCCGGCCCTGCCCCGGGTCCCATCCCCGGGGTGCTGAACCCTCCCCGTCCCCGGGGTGCTGTGCCAGCCCGTCCCCAGCGCGCTGACACCCCCCGGGGGTCCCGCCCGGCTGAGGGGGCGGCGGCGCCGGGCGGGCGGGCGCTGAGGGGGGGCGATGGGAAGGGCCGGCGCGGAGGGGATGGGGCGGGGTCTCCCAACGCCGTGAGGGCCGGCGGGCTCTCGGCAGGGTGCCCCGGTGCCGACAGCGCCCGGGTGGTGCCCTCAGCCCCACGGTACTCACTCAGCCACGACTCCAGGCTCTCCCCCTCCGCCTCCGCCATGTTGCCGGCGCGGCCCGAGGCCCCGCCCACCCCGCGCGAGACCCGTGCGAGGGGGCGGGGTCTGCGTCGGCCCCGCCCCCCGCGGCGGCGCGCGCAGGGAAGATGGCGGCGCCCAGCGTGGCGGGGCTGGGCCGGCGGCTGCGGGCCTGGGTGCCCCGGTGAGCGGCGTGAGGGGACCCGGCGGGGAACACGGGCGGCTCGGTGGGCTGGGCGGCATCCAGGGAACACGGGCAGCACAGGGGGAGGCCAGGGAGCGGCTCAGCGGGAGCACGCAGGAGGTGGGGGGGGGCTGCGCCGCACAGGGAGCGCACGGAGAGGCCGCCCGCCTGCTGGTTGCCGGGCTCACGGAATGACGGAGTTATAAAAACATCAAGGTTAGAAATGACCGTTGAGATTATTCAGTCCAACTGTCCATGTAATCACTAAACCACATCACCCAGCGCCAGATGCAGACGCTTCTGGAACACCTCCGAGGGCGGTGACTCCACCGCCGCCCTGGGCAACCTGATCCAATGCCTGACCACTCGAATAGTGAATAATTTTTGTAATATCTAACCTGAATCTCCCCAGTCTTAGCTTAAGGCTGTTTTCTCTGATCCTCTCACCGCAGGCACAGCAGGAGACCAACCCCCACCTCACCACAATCTTTCAGGTGGTTGTGGAGAGCAATGAAGTCCCCCCGAGCCTTCTTTTCTTGAGACTAAACCACCCCAGCTCCCTCACCTGTTCCTCGTAAGACGTGTTTTCTAGACCTTTCACGAGGATGATGTTACTTCCTGGGTTCACGGTGCTGGTTTGTGCCCTGGGCTCTGCTGCAGTGATGGAGAGGAAGGCAGAGATGCCTCTCACATCTGAGACGTGTTCACATCTGTCCACATCTGTCCACATCCCTGTCACGGCATGTGTGAGGTTACAGCCCCCCTTCTCTTGTCCCTTCAGGCTGATGCAGGTGAGATGGAGCCGCTACAACCCCAGTTACTTGGAGCCAGAAGTGAACAAGGAATTGTACCAGAAACCTTTGGAGGAGCTGACTGAGGAGGAAAGAGAACAAATGGAGCTCAAGGCTGTTCGACCCATCAAAGCTGCTCCTCCCACTCTGTCCAGCTCTGTGTTCAGCGACCCCATGATCAGGTCAGAGAAAGCAGCAGCTCCTCGTCTCTCACAGGATCCCACGGAGCCACAGTTCTTGGGAGCTGTGCTGCCCTCCTCAGCCTTCACTCCTGGTTGCACATTGCCTCCTGTTACAACACAGTCCCTTTTTTCCGGGTTAATCTTTTCCCATCAGCCAGTCCATTGTCCTACAGTGATTAGAGATAATTACAGATCTAGAAGCACCCAGACTTAACCACGGGAACAACACAAAGGGGTGGGGGGAGCTTATTTGTGTGGGTGATAAAATCAGAATTCAACTCAGATCCCATCTGACTTTGTGTTTTCAGTAAATTCACCAATATGATGATGAGGGATGGAAATAAAGTGCTGGCCAGAAGCCTCATGACTCAGGTGAGAACTCATGTTTCTTCTCTCTATTATGTTAAAACAAGACAAAATGGAAGGCTGGGACATCAAACCCACTGGAATTGGGAATTACCAGAACTCATGTCATCTCTGTGGTCCTGATGCCTTTCCCTCTGCAAACACACTACTCCCACCATGATAAACCATGATTTCTCTGATAAGATATACAAGCCCCAGCCTCATTAGCTCACAGACCAAGTGACACCTTAATGGAGAACCTTCTCTTTCCACTCTTCAGTATCCCTGTGACCTTCTGTACTGCATAAGAGTATTCTCTGAGTTTAAAAGCATAATTTTCTCAAAAGATCTCCTTTCCAGCTCTCTGTCATGCTTTGCCTTCTGCATAACTTGCCCACGAAGTCCCACGAATGTGTCACCTTCGTGACACAGCTTTGACCCCTGCAATGTCTGATAAAGAGACTGAAGAGATGGAATAGGGTGGAATAAAACTTGAGCTAAAAAAACTCCACTGGGCCTGTTGCTTATGGGGCTGGAAAACCATCTCAGGTGAAAATGGGGTGCCTATAAAAGTGATGTAACCTCATGGAGTGGGATGACCCATCTGCTCTGCATGTCTCCTTTCCTGCCTTTGTCCCAAGACTTTAGAGGCCATTAAGAGGAAGCAGCTGGAGAAGTACCACAAAGCTCCAGAAAATGAGAAGGAGGCAATTGAATGCAACCCCTACGTCATTTTCCACCAGGCTTTGAAGAACTGCCAGCCCATCATTGGGCTCAGCAACATCACCAAAGGAGGCAAAACCTACCAGGTGAGGAGAGAATTAGCTAGGGAGGGAGATGAATGGGCTTCCACCCCTTCAGCTAAAGATTTTCTCTCCTTGGAAAGAGCTACTTTGCAATCTGGATTAAAACAGCAGCTAGAAACTCTGCCCAAGATCAGGACTCCCACCTATGAGCGTGGTAATTCCCCTGTCAGGATCACTAAGGTTGGAAAAGACCTCTAAGATCCTAGAGTCCAGCATTAAGCAGCAGCAGTCTCTGGTTTTCTGACTAGGTTTGAGGAGAAGTGCACAGCAAGTATTTTCCAAGGAGACAGAGACCAGCAGCAAAAGAATTGGCAGTCCTGGGACTACCAGTCCCATCTTCTCAGCATCGTGTTGCTTGTGGAGAGGTCCCAAAGCCCTGGGGCAGGTCAGCGTGGCAGAAAAGGTCAGCTAGATCCAGTGTGATGTTTAAAACGTGAGCAGAACCAGTTTCTGAATACAGGCTGTGCAACCCTCAGAACCTGATGGCGAGATGAGATGTGGAGGCATTTGGAACTAGATGATGGAGGTTGGAATTACATGACCTTTAAGGTCACTTTTAACTCAAACTATTCTGTGATTTCTCTGTATTCAGTGCAGGGATGGGGTGACACCTCCCATCTTTGCCAGGACAAACCAGCCTGGATCCAGCTCCCATTTAGGCCAGAAGTCCACTCAAAGGCCAGTGCCAGTACCCATGGCTGGTCAAAATTTCCATTTTGGCAGCAGTGGCCAGTTCTGTGGACAGAGGAGGAGAATTGGCACGTATCAGCTGTCAGGAGCAGGTCTGGCTGCAGAGAGCAGCACAGTGCACTTCTGCAGGTGCCAGCTGGTCCTGTGTGGCTGCTGGAGAGGAGCAGGAGATAACTGCTGTGCTTTGAACCTTTCCCAGGTGCCCGTCCCGCTGAAGGACAATCGGAAGCGCTTCCTGGCCATGAAGTGGATGATCACCGAGTGCAGGGAGAACAAGCACCGCCGGACACTGATGCCTGAGAAGCTCTCCCAGGAGCTGCTCCTGGCCTTCAAAAACGAAGGGCCCGTCATCAAGAGGAAGCACGCCCTGCACAAGATGGCAGAGGCCAACAGGGCTTACGCCCACTTCCGCTGGCAGTAGGGACTCACAGGGACACGGTGCCACGGCCTGGAGAGCAGAGCCCCAGGGCTGCCTGCCTGGGAGAGGCTGGGGAGAGGAGGGAAGGGTGGACCATCCCTTCCAGACTGCTGCTGATCAAACCCAGGGAGAGCTCACACCATCCCCACGAGGTTCATTTCCTTTGTGCTGGTTTGGATGGGGGAAGGGGGAATCCGAGTTACCGACCCTGGCAGGGATGCTCTAGTTCTTTCATAATCACTTTCCTGTGAAGACAAGCCTTAGATGTTTTTCTCAGAGCAATGTCATCTTTCACTTACCTGTTTCCTGGGGACTTGGAAGTCTCTCTGCTCCTGAAATCAGCAACGTTTCTGGCTGCACAGCTAAGAGCAGAGCTGGATTTTTTCCATACCACAACCAGCCTTAGCAGGAATGGAACAACAGGTAATAAAAGGCCCTTTTTCATTTTTGGTTCTGATCATCAGCAACACTGTCTGCACAGATTTGATGGGAATGGTAACAAGAAAATAAAACCAGTTTTATGGGGAAGGTTTCTCAATTCCAAACCTTGGTCTGTGTTGCTTGAATCTCACACTGCACTTTCCAGCTACCCTGGTTCTGGACAGCCAGGCTAATGCCTTACACTGGAGCAGAAACACTGTCAGCCTTAAAGCTTCAGTCAGGAGCAACCCTTAAGCATTGTTCAAAGCTCAGCAGCTGCACAGAGAGAAAGCAGGGCACGTGTTAGTGGAAAACTTTTATTAGAAAAAAATCCTTCAATAGACTATTTTGTTTCCTTTCTTCCTCTCCCATTCTTATAACAAACATCCCATGGCTGAAACTCGCTAAATTGTGAAAAAAAACATGACAGTTATTGTATAAAACTTATAAAACCTGTTCCTACATGTGCTCAGGGACCTCTCCTGGCAGGTATTCCTGGCTGGGGGAGAGGCCGTGTGCATGCAGGTGCAGCCAGCGTGCTGGAAGGAACCTGGGGAAAAAAAGCACTTGGTTGAGCTATTTGTGAGGCCACAGTGTGTTCTGTGACCTGTCCCAGATATCCAGGTACAACCTGAGCTGTGAGATTTCCCTGCTGCCTCCCACGGCTCTGCTGGCTTTGGGGTGAAGCAAAATGTTCTCAGCCTAAACTGTGCTTTCCTTACCACTCATAGAAAATGCTGGTGTGAGCTAGAAGCCTTAGGAGCCCTTTGCTGGCAGCAGCCCAATGTTAAGACAGTATCAGTGGGAGAACTTCCTGGGATAAACGTGCCCTTCCCACTGCTCCAAACCTCCGAAGTCAGGCCAGCACCAGCTGCAGCCTGACTGTAGATGCCCAGGGGCTCTAGCCAGTATAAATCCTATTTACAGGAAGTGCTAGAAAATTAAGGTGAGAAGAAATTCCAACTTGGTACGAAGCTTGCTGGTGAAAGTGCTGGGGACTCCCCTCCTCTGCTGCGGGTGGTTAATCCGTCACTTCGCTGTAATAGTATTTCTGGGCAGCATCTGTCATCTTCCAGTCAGCAGCACGGAACTCGATGATCTCCAGCAGCAGGAGCTGGGACAGGGAGCTGAGCCCCTCCTGCAGTAGGAAGCCGTCTCGGAGGAGGGAGAAGAGCTCATCCATCCGCTGGGAATTCATCTTCTCCAGCTGCTCGCCGATGCGGTGGAGCTGCAGGACCAAGCAGTCCACCTTCAGAAGGAAGAGCAGATGGCTGAGCACAAAGCAATGGAGAGCTCCTCTGCACCCCCCGGGCTGTGCTTTGTGCAGGTCCTTGGCAGGACAAGGGGCACATCAGCAGCTCTCCCCTGCACTCACCTCTTCCTCCTTCTGCAGGCTGTCGGGCTGTGCCAGCCGGAACAGACAGTCATAAACGGGGTTCACCAGAGCCATCATGGGCATATTGTTCACCTGCAAGGAGGCAGGAGCCATGTCACCTTGGGGCCAGAGAGGGAGGAGTCTGCAGCTATTTCAAACAATTGTTCCCTTGCTGCTCTCCAAAGGAGATGGAAGCGGGATTTAGTTGTGCTGCAAAATGCCATATTGGTGGGATTTACATTTGAGTCTCCAGGAACCAGAAAAGCTGAACAAATGATGTAAAAAACATCTATTTTTAAATGTAAGCAGATAGTCTTGGGAAATACACTTGTTGCAATGGCATTTTTCCTTCTTACAGCTCTACTTGTATCATTTTTACATCTACCCTAAGCAGGAATCCAAGTTCACACACTGCACAAAGGCCTGCAGACAAACTCCGTCAGTACATCCCCCCAGGACCCCACAGCAACTAAACCAGTCCAGTCTGGGACATCTGGAAGCAGGCAAATCAGAGGATTTCAAACACCAGGTACAAAATGAGGAAGCTGAGACTTTGTGACTGTTTGTGGAGACTCTTCCTCTGCCTCTCCAGGCCTGTTGCTTGCCTGTAGGTAGCACCAGCCCTGGCAGCATCCTCATGCTGAAAACCAGCTCTGGCCCCCACGGCCCTGGGGCTCCCACCCAACACCCCTGGCATCTTGGGATGCCAAGGCCCTTCTGGCACCCCAGGCAGCAGCAGCTGGGTGCTCCTGCCCTGGCTCCTCACCCTCAGGTAGTCGAAGATGTTGCAGATGAAGGTGACGTAGCAGATCCAGGCCTGGAGCGAGCGCGTGCGCAGCTCCTCCCTGTCCTTGTACTCCTGCTGCAGCCGGTTCAACAGGCTCCTCCGGAAGATGCTCTGGCCAACTTGTTTGCTCTCTGCCTACAGTCCCACAAAGGCAGGATGGAGGGATGAAACAGGGGTGTGAGAGGGGCAGGAGGATGCTGGGGGATGCAGGACCATGCAGATACCCTCTTGTGATTCCCAGGCAGAAATGCTGCAACTCACTGCCTGTGCTCACCCACTGCTCTGGATCCTGCTACTGCACGGGGCAAGCAGCAGGAGAGGAAAGGTGGCTAAAGGGTCAGAGCATGGGGCTGGGGCAAAGCCTCTTCTGGTCCAGCTGGGGGACAACCCACACAACATATCCCAAGTGTTTCGCGGTCCGGCAGGAGCTCTCACCTGGATGATGGTGTAGCAGATCCGCCCTGCCTCCTTGCTGAACACACAGTCTTTCAGGGACTGGTCCACTATAATATTGGCCACTTTCTCCAGGTCCACATTGCTGGGGTCTGCAGAGAGGAGAAACATTGTCAGGACCCAGCCCTCTTTGGGCCCTGATTGCTTTGGGGTGTCTGGAAAGCACCCCAGGTCAGTGCATGGCCTGGTACAGCTGCACATGGCAGGGGAGCTCACAAAAACCTGCTGACCTTTGAGGGCTGTTTTCAGCAGCTTCTGAGTCTCAGAGTCAAACGACTGTATTTTGTACTCTTCTTTGCCCGTTTCCCCCATGACTGGATTCCTCCGGGGGCCAGAGTCAGAGCAACAGATGGGCTACTGCCAGTCCCTGGAGAAAGAGCACAGAGCTTAGTTGGACAGAGAGGCAAACCTTCACCTGCCATTCAGCAAATCCCTAGTGCTGGAGCACACACAGGCTGTTATCCTGACAGCTCCCCGCCCCAAGGAAACTCCTCTGTTATTAGGGCACCAATTCCAGCCCTAGATCCAAACACATCCTCACTCCTACATCTTTTTAAGCCTTGTTTTCTACCAGCCTGTGATAGAACTTCATCTTCAGAGCCTTTACATTCTTCTGATATGAAAAACATGTTACAGACAAAGCAGACCCAAAATATATCTACCTTGCCTCAGAAGGCTTCACAGTGGCTGTATCACAGGGAAGCACACGCTGCTCCCTTGTACCTTTGAAAAACCAATTTAGCTGGTTTCACACAAAACCTGGGAAGAACCAAAGCTAGCATGAAAACATCCAACACACGCTCACCTGAGCACCTCTCCTACCCCAAAGCCAGGCTCCCTCGGCTCCCAGAGAGTCACAGAAAGCTCCACAGCCAAATCCCCAACAGCAACAGCTCCTGTCTCATCCCCCTGCAGTCAAGCACAGCTCTGCGGCACCAACAGAGCACCTAAACAGTCTCTGGATTGATTTTCTTCTGCTCCATGATACAGAAAAGAAAGCAAGAGGGTACCCACAGCACAGAGAGGAAGGGCTCTGACACGCACACAAGTTGATCTGCTGGATGTGAAATGCTGGGCTGCCAGACCCGCAGCACAAACAGGACAAGGCAATCGGCCAAATGAGTTTTGCCAGCTCGTCGAAATTCCTCGGCCATTACTCACCCTCTCTGCAAACACCGGATCAAAGCCCAAGAGCCCATCACCCTTTGGGGGCATGGGCAGCACAGTGGGCAGCCCGACCTCTCGGACACAGCACTTGCCATGAAGCTGTGGCACCCAGAGCAGAGAGCAGCCCCGTGGGGGTGACAACCTGCTGACACTGCTCTCATAGCCAAAGCTCTCACCTGGCCCGGGACCTGCACAGGTGTCTTTCCCAGGTAGATTCACAAGCAGCTGGGTGCCCTCCGTGCCATGCCTGGTTGGCAAACACCTTCCCAGCTGACCTCTCCTCCTTCTGCACTCTCTCTCTGCACCTGCACTCACTCTCTCCTGCTGCACTGCCAGTGGAGCAGCCCGAGCTCTCCAGCAGCCCCGTGTCCCACCAGCAGCATCACCACGCAGAAGGAACCTGGCAAGAGCTCAGCACTGCACACAGCGAGGCAGGAAGTGCCCGAGCCCGTCTGGCAGCGTCTCTGCCGCCGCCGCCGCCCTGCCCCTCTCCCGGAGCATCCATCCCCATGGCTCCCCGGGACGGGCACGGCTGCTTTGAACTGCCGTGCCAAATAACCCTGCCCAGAGCAAACCACAGCGTGTCAACGCCAAACCAGGCGGGCCTCGCCTGCTCTAGAGCCTCTGCTGCCAGGACCACCTTGTCTGAAAGGCTGGTGGCAGTGGGTGACACCGGGCACAGCATCGCCCGTGGGTACCAACTGCTGCTCTGCAGTGATCCCCACTAGACGGGCTGTCCCTGGGACTGACAGGGTTGGGGTCAGCGCCCTCAGTCTGCCGGTGACTCACCAGCCCGGGTGCCAGGGCCATACCCTGCGGGGACACACCTGGCAGGAGGGGCTGGACAAACCCCGGCCACTGCAAGGGGAGAGACAGAAGCGCAGCGAGTCTCCTCTGCCGCCCCTGAGCACCTGCCCGAGGGGCGCTACCAGCCCCCAGGACCCCCGTCCGGCCCCGCCGAGCCGCAGGGGAACGCCCTGCACCGAGACGACTCCGGCCCGGGGCACCTGCGCCACCGGAGCGTCCCGGAACCCCCGCCGCTGCCTCCCGTCGCTCCAGCCCCGCGGGTGGCACGAGCCCAACGGCCCCCGGACGGAGGGAGCGGCGGATCCCAGGGAAAGCAGCCCCGCCGCTGCCCCGGGCGGGGCAGGGGGAGCCGGGCACAGCCCCACCGACCTGCCGGCCGCCCCCGCTGGGTCCTCCGGCCGCCGGGACATCGCCGGCGCCTCCCGGGCCCCGCGCCCTCCCGGCACGGCCCAGGTTTCCTCTTAGGTCATTTCCTCGCCCGAGCCGGGGGAGGGACGGGCCGGGCCGGGGCGGGAGAGCGCCGGCGGCAGCGCCACCGCCTGCGAGCGCCGGGGCACGGCGGGGCTGAGCCCCCGCACGGCCGGCGGCTCCCTCGGGAAACTCCCCGGCACTTCCCAGGCACGGCCGGCTGCTCCCCCGGGCACCCCCGTGAAACTCCCGAGCACCCCCCGGGGCACGCCCGGCTGCTCCCCTGGGAGCCTCCCGGGGAACTCCCGGCCACCCCCGCAGGCACGGCCGGCTGCCCTCCGCGTTCCCCCGGGCACCCCTGGTTGCTCCCCGGTTCCCCCGGGCCTCCCCGCCGGCGGGTCGCGGGCAGCACTTACCCCTCTGTCCTGGTCTCCCGCGGGGCTCTCCCGGTGAAAACGGCGTTTATTCCGCTCTCCCCTCCGGGCCAGGGCAGCTGCAGCAGAGTGGCATAAAATAATCAATAGGAAAAAAAAAATCAGGAAAGGGGAGATGTGCTAAATCAACGCCCTGCAACAAGAGCTGAGTATGGCATAACACACTTCATGTTTTTCCTCTAAACTCCCAACCGTTTCACAGGGGAAGAGCCCCCAGGGGGTGAAGCCTTTGCAGCAGAGCAGCCAGGCTGAAACCAGGGAACGGCTCAGGAAACACAGAACGAGCAGTTTGGGAACATTTTCTGCAGCGCTGTGTGGCCTGGCTGGAGACAAACAAAGCCTCAACTCACTCACTGAGGGTGGGTGGCTCAGGACTGGCTGCTGTGGCTCCGACAGCCCCTCTTGGACACAGCGATGGGATCAGGCTGCACAAATCCCCCTTGGCTGATCCCTTTTGGTGAGGTTCTCAACTGTGATACCCAATGCAGAGGGTACAGTTCTGCTTGCTGCTGAAGAGCACCCAGGAGCCAGCGATGGGAAAAACAGATGGCTCCTGCCATCTCACACTCTGGGCCCTGATTATCCTTCTCTTTTGGGCCACAGTGTTCCTGTGGAGTCCAGAAATAGGCACCAAGAAGAAAGGAATAAACCCACTGTAGCCAAACATGTGCATAACAAAATATTTAATGTACCTTGTCTCAAAGGTAGGCACACGTTGTGCTCAGATGCTTTCTGAAAACAGCAGCTGCGAAAGATCCGCTCAGGCAACACAGCAAAACACCACAGAGTCACAGTCCTACATCACAAGAGAAACTTAAACCTGAATTAAACACGATCTATTCCAATCCCGACCGTAAAACATTCATTTCTTTTCAAAAATGATGCTGCGTAGCTCTGGATGAGCATCCTGAGAGCAGGACTGTCCTAGGAAGTGGAGGAGCCAGCCAGCGCTGCAGGAAGCAGCGTGTTCATCACAGACCTTGTGTGTTCACCCGTCCGAGGCCGGCTCAGCGTCGTGGTGGAGCCAGGAACAACTATAGCACGACTCCTCTGCAATGCTCTGCCTGCTAAGGAGGTTTTGGACTGTTCTGATGGTAAAAGGCACTAGAAGAAAACAAATGCAACCGCTGAGCAGCTTGTGAGGTGAAGTGCAGGCAAATCCCCGTGATAGGATTACCTTGGAGAGAAATCCCACTGGCCAATATCGGGCACAGTCGCTGCGTTGAGTCACTTCACACTGAGCCTCATTGAGTCACTTCTGAATGGGACAAGCAGCTTCCAAGAGAAAATCTGTCCCAGCATATGGGAGAACAAGGTGACTACAGATCTCTCCTCCTCTAATTCTAGGAAATTTAGCTCCTAACAGTGTGTGTTTTGCCAGAGCAGCAGCAGAAATAAGTCCTTGTCCTCCTAGTGGTTCTTTCAGCCTCATTCCCAAAGAGAAAACAACATTTCTGTTAAAGTCATTTCCTCCAGCAAAATGCACATGAGAAGTCTATGAGGGACAGGTGCTGCTGACCAGAGGCAAGTGACTGTTGGATGCAACTCCCAATATTGTCTAGTTGAGGTTGTCATATCTTTCTCCCTCTCTCACTGGAAGCCCAGGTGCCTTTATGGGCCTGTAACATTTGTGACTCACAGTCCAAAAGGCCCTATGCCAAAGCCCTCCGACCAGGGAGTGTCTCTTCCACAGCCTGGGCCAGACTGGCACAACTTAAACTCCGACTTTGCCACCTGTTGGGTGGAGGCAAGCTCAGACAATGCAGAGTTGAGGAAAAAACTATCCCAGAGAGGAAAAGCTGCTCCATACTCCCCAGTGCTGCCCTCTCTGTGAGGCAGCCAAGCTGCACGTGCCTGCATCACCCACAGCACCCCAGAGGAACGTCAGCAGAGCACCGACTTTCCTCTTCTTTCCCACTGCTGAGTTCCCAACCAGTTTCCACATTTTGTGCAGTTTAGTGGCAGCTCTTTGACATAAAGTGGAAAACAAGTCTTGCAACGTTCAGACAGGACGGATGAGTCCCATTTCCTAAGGAAGCCTAGGTCAGCACTGAGCATTCTCTGCTGTGGCCTGTCCCTGCTAAGCATGAGAGCACTGCTCTCATCAGCAGCCAAAAGACAATAACAAACCCAACCTGTTTGTGTCTGTTTTGAAATGAGACATTTCTCTCTCTCAGAAGGATGTCAGGAGGCTGAGTTCATTCCTGCTTATGATGTCTTTCCAAGAAAAACAGGTGAACAATAAACAAAGGCAAGACATTGTTAAGATTTTGAGCAATCTCAGAAGAGCCTAAATAACACACGAAGATGCCAATAGGATTGAGGCACTTTGAGAAACTTCATTCCACATTCTTTGCATTTTCTCCTCTGAACAAAACTGCCATTTTTAGAGTACATGCAGCTCACAGCCCCTCTTTGAGGGTCACATATCGGCCTCCTGCCTGACACTGACACTGCTCAGGGAATTTAATTTTATGCAGCTCTCAGTCACCTGCAGTGAAACAGCCACTTTGCACTCCAAAAGATCTCAAACCACAGCAGACATAAAGTTATTTGGCCCGGGCTTGCAAGGAATCTCTCCAGATACCTCAGCCACCAGTGAAACAGCTGCTTTTTAAAAACAGCCTCTCACAATAGCTCAGGATAAGTGAGCAATGCTGATACGTTCAAAACACCAGGAGAAGTTGTGTCAACGGAATGGAATTGGTCACGCTGGAATTTGGCCAGACCATTTGGGATTAACACCCTGAATACTGCAAAAGAGCTGGGAAAAGCTCTGCGTTAAGAGAAGAACCATGAAACCATCCTCCAAATAACTCAGGATTCTGCCCTAATTGCCCCTCACAGATGATTAAAGTTTGTACAGCAGGGCTCTTCCTTGGGACTCTTCCACACAGCCCAACCACACCCTGCCCAGCTTGAGAACACACAGAATAAAAGAGGAGGAAGAAAGTAATTTTCCTCTTTTCCACTGTTACATAAATCAGAGTTGTTGGTTGGTTGTTTTGCTGGCTTTTTTAACCACTCCTAAAACCTTTGAAACTCCAGAAAAACACTTCTCCGGCTCTAATTCAATCGTCCTTCTCTTGTGAAACACCACCACTGCTCAGCCAAACAATTCCCATTTGATGTTCATTCCTTTCACTTCAGCTAATCTTGTCAAAACATTTTCATCTGTTAGCGCCAGTGTAGGACTGAGGTTCAGAAATGTTTTGAGGCCACTACAGAAATACTTGCTAGAAACATTCAAAGGTGTTTGAATTACTACTAAATAAATAACAACAATAATAAAAATTTACGAGTTTCCACAGGACTTTCCCTTCATTATTCCAACATAGAGTAAATATTTCTTAACTCCACACAGCATTTGTTTACTTGCTGCATTGAAGCAAAGAACCCTGAAGTAAGAATTAGGCTTGTGCGTTGAATCCCTTCAGAGCAGGGCTCTTAATCTGCAGGTTTGCTTGTGAAAAGTAAGAGTGAGGCAATGCAAACCCCTAAGAGATGCATGGCCAGACATACCCAAGAAGAGAAATGGGAACTCAGGATACAATCAAGCTCACTGGAGTTAAAGAAAGAGCAAGTCTGAGTCAACATGATCAGAGAAGACTCTGTGTTTAAGGTGGCTGGGAATGCACAGCCAGCAAGTGGTGACCAAGCAGCATCAGCTGGCAGCAAAGGAAAGGAAAACTGAGGGCCTGTGCACTCAGGTGGTTTTACCTGACTTCACTCCAGCAGAACAGAGTGACCTGTGTAACACCCAGACAAGGATTTGGTGCAAACAGCAGGTATAGAGCAAGGGAACAAAGCTGTGCAGCTGCAGCGCTAGGAAGGGGTGTTTGGTCGGTTAAGCTGCACTAGGCTGGGTCAGGATCCCTCTCTGGGATACAAGGCGACCTCAGAAATTCACCCACTTTATTGGGTGCCTTTCCAGAGCACAGTTGCTGCTAGGGAATGGTCTGTTTGTTCCCTTCTCTCCATTAAATGCGTGCTTATGAGAGGAGACAGAGCTAATAAAAGTGCTCAGTTGAACAGCCTCCAGCAAAGCAGTTCAGTGTCTCCAGCAGAACTGCAGTCACCTTCTCCTTCTGCTTGGTCCCAGGAGGTGATTTCCCACAGGCTGGAGGCGCTCTGGGAGCTCTGGGCTTTCCAACATGCTCGTGACAGAGCAAAGCCATGAGTCTCCCCTCCTGAGGAGAACAGGCAGCCACAAACATCCCTGTCAGCCTTCCTTCCTCCCAGTGCTGTTGGGGGTCTTCAGGGTGCACAGGAGGCTGCAGAACAGCTCATACCAGAAGAAGACGAGGCCAGTGGAGAAGGCAGCCTTCAGCAAACTGGGGGAAAGGCCCTTAAAGAATCCACCTGAGCCTTCCTCCTGCATGATCTGCCTCATGCAGTCCAGGAAACCCCTGTACGTCCGTACCTGGGAGAGAAACGGCAACAAGATTAAACAAGAGAACTCCAGGACGACTGGAAAACAGCACAAAGATCTCCAAACTATAGCACAGAAGCATAATCTCAACATGCAGCCTGGAAATGCTTTTCTGGCTACTATTATAACTACGTGAAAGTTTCAGAGAGGCAGTTCAGAGAGAGCAGGATGGAGGAAAAGTACACATTTAGCACCAGCAATGGCTTATGCAGATCATTCTAACTGTAACATTTCTGTGCAACAACAGCATGACTTTAATTTTATGGCACAAGTTTACAAGTTTGTGAAGTTTATTTCAGATTATTTTAGATTGTGCTGCTACTGTTTTCCATCCCCGTCACTCTTTAAGAAGGGACAACTTATGAGTTTTTTGACAGAAAGAAAACACATCTACAGGACTTCAAAGTTTCCAAATTAGCTGTCTGCATGTCATTGTGTCATACTGTGCAGTTTTAACATCCTGTGACACATCAGTGCTAAGAACAAATTCTGTACTTTGCAGGAAGAGGAAAAGCATCCAATGCAATCAGTTAAGACTTCAAATTCTTATCCCAGAGTTTCTTAGGGTACAGACTGATTTCTTTCTCAGATCCAAGGAATTTGAAGGAAAAACATGAACACAACAGGTACCACTGGTGGATCGTCACTGCATTCCAGTGCACTGGACTGGCTCCATAGTCATGAAAATCCATCACTTCCAACACTTCTCACCTGCCCAAAGGCTGCCCGACCGTGCTCAAAGCCACCCACTTGCAGTCGCTTCTTGACCACGTCCAAAGGGTACGTGAGGGTTTTGCTGATGATCCCAGCACAGCTGCCACAGACAAGGTTTTTAATGTTGCCTGAGAAGCAGAAAGGTAAGAGGATAGCAGGGGGGGAAAAAAGAGGAATAGCAGGAGTTGTGATTAAAGATCATAAGAGGTAGGTAAAAAATCACTTTTCACAAGAAGTAAGGTCAAAAAGGCCCTTTGAAGTTACATGACATAGTTTGGGCCACAGCACCTCAGTCTGTATTTTCTAGGTCAGGCTCACAGTGTCCACTGGAGCCAGAGCCCAACAGTTCCTCTTGGTCCATTACACTGACTTATGGTTTTGCTCTGCCAAACCTAACCCCCAGTCACCAGTGAACTTGCTGCCAGTGGATGGAAACATTTTCACGCTGACAGCAAAAGCCTGGTCACTGGATATTTTGCACCCCCGATTGCTCAAACTGACTTATTGTGGATTGGAATGTCACAAGTTGGCACTGCCTGACAATTTCAGAGGCTTGTGGGAAATAAGTTCTGTGTCTTCCCAGAGTAACATGACACAGTTCAAGAAAAAGATCCCTGGCCTGTGACACTTCACTTTCCCATCCACTCATTTCCATCATGGTTATTTCATAACAGGAGCTGTTTGTAAACTCCACTGTACTTACTTTGGCAATACCTGTGCAGGGATAAGAATGAGAGGTGGGAAATACAGATACTTTTCAGGTGTCGCATCAAAAAGGGTGAAAGGACTGAGAACTGAGCTTACATCAGTCACCCAGACTAACATTCCTCCTCCTTCTCTCCTGACTGCAGACATCACTGCCCCAAAGTGCCTACCTCCTTTCTTTCCTTCAGCTGGAATCGCCCATTCCGAAAACTGCTGCAGGATGTTGTAGAAGAAGAACTGGAGACCAGCATATGGGAAGATAGCAATGAGTGTGGGGGTCAAACCTCTGTAGAAAGTCCGAGGCCCTTCCGTCTGGTACATGGTCACTATTGCATGGCGAAGGTTGGGATAGATCTGGATGAGGAAGAGCAAACCAAAGGTCAGGTCATTTCCCAGTAATGGGGATAGGAATTTCCCATCACCCAAAAAACAACAGACTGTTTTAAGCACAAAGTGATGAGCAAGGTGACTTTGCACACCCTCAAACAGAGTGACTTAGAAGAAACAAGGCACAGAGCTGAGTCCTGAGACCACTTGCATCACGGACATGATGTTTATTTTTGTCTCAACAGCTCTGCTTATTCCTGCAGCACAATTCATATAATACATATTGTGATTCTACTGCAGGCTAAGTAAAAACCCAAAAATGGCTCTGATACAAAT